GTCTCTCCAATATAATACAGTTTAAACGTTGCGGGTTCCGTTTTTAATTGCTTTACACATTTTTGTAATATTTAATATTTTTTTTTTTAACACGTGACAAGTCCTCATCTCCAATTGGAGTAATACAAGTTTAAAATCGATTTTAAATTTAAAAAATACGACACAGGCAGAACTTGAACCGGCATCTACAGCGTTCCGTGTGTCCGTCCATTTATACATGCACCTTTCGCGCAATTAGTTCGAGGTATAGATTTGAATATAATTCCCCGTTTCGGTTGCAGATGTCATTATCTAAAGTTTTTACTCAATGAATATTATAAATAACAAAATATTGCAATCTTAAATTTAGATCTTTAAGTAATGTACGTATCGTGTATAAAGCGTGGATCTTCTACGTTTGGGCATACCTCAATGTTTATTGTAAATGTAAGACCTTTACACGCTAGACTAAAACGAAACTAAAACAGCTCTTAACGTATAAAATGATGAGGGACACCATAAATGCACCTCACCATTTCCGAATGCCCTTTATACAGTGGCCTGAAGCCAACATGAATCTATGGCCGCAAAAATAGCCACAGCACGATGTCGTTTCAGCCATTCACATAAACCCTCCGTTTTGGTCACGGCGACCCATTACCATATTGCTAAGTGTGACTATGTGAATGTATTGTGAGAGTAATGTTTGTCTGCCCTCGCGATAACCTTTCGACCGCTGAACTGGACAGCTTATACCGATGGGTTCACGCGGTTAATGACGTCCACAATGCGAGCAATAAGCGCAGGTCTAGCACTAGAAACACGCCCACACGTTTTGAATCGTCCGTAAATACGATCATTTTATAAATTTTGAATTCGTAACAAAGATCGTGGTAACGAAGTGCTAATTCAAAATTCGAATGTCAATTATTCCAAATTTGAAATAAGACTTCGTCGACGGCGTATTACGGCATCACATTTTCTACTAACATACGAAATTTGCGAGATTATTAAAATGTTTGTTTCTTTCTCACTTTAACGGTTTAATATATGATAATATTTTTTTAAAGATAATTCATGCCTTTCACAAGAAAATATTTATATCGAAAAGGGACTAGTTCTCGGGGGTGGACTAAGATTTTATTATTATATCACAGCATATCTATTAGATTAGATTAATAAAGGTACAATTTTATTAAGCTTCTATAGAACCGTCTCTAATCCGTAATTTCATTAAAAAACGATTATATAACATCTCATTAACGGATTATTATAACGCAGTATCGAATCGATAGCCGAACCCAGCTTAGGATAATTGACACTTTGGTTTCCATGTATTTTTATCATTTTAGGGTCCATCAAGATTAATCCGGGATTGCGGCCTTTGATTGACTCCTTACCACTTTTAACGTTTTAATCTTTATATTCATAAGCTTCTAAAAGCATTTTACTACGGTTAGATTAACTTGAGAAATTGTAAAACTACTTTCTTAGATAACAAAGACATTATGGTTTTATTACAATTATATGAGCTCCATCTCAACTTATGTTTATAGATCTTAGACTCTCCACGCTTTACTAGTGCGCGTTGGTGTTTTTACAACTACCGCCATTAACAGCACCGGCATAGGGATCATCCCTCCTACTCCTAAGCTCAAGGCAAATATCAAAGCCATATTACCCAGGCTTCCAACCCAAGACCTCGTGGTCTGCAGTCGAGTACACTGGCTACTTGACCAACGAGGCTAGTAGACTTGTATATAGACAAAGAAAGAGGAATCGAAAACGTTTACGATGTAATATTGTTTTCGAATATTTTGAGTCGAAATAAATTAGCAAATATGAATTGGAGCGGAAAGGTGTAACCTAAAGCAGTCTTTTGTTGTCGCCAGTCAAAGGAGGCCATAGGTTTATATTTAAAAATAGGCATCGGTCAACATTTATTGATTAAAGGAAATTTGACCTATTGAAGTATTATAACAGTTTTATTTTTTTCTCTTTTGTCATAAAAGGTGAGGCCAACTTGGGATTTATTTAATGGAAGGTAAATCCTAATACATCTGTTAAATATTCACTGTCTTGCTTTTGGCTTCGGACTGAACCTGAAAAACTTTTACATTCATAACGTCGTATCTTCATAAGTAAAACCTATAAATTTCAAATAAGAATTCATAACATTTAATGAAATACTGTATGATGTGCACAATATAAATTTAGTTAGATTCACTTGCATGAAATTAAACAAGAACTTGCTTTTTATATAATGAAAGTACATCCTCACTCATTACTTACCTACCATTAACACTTCAAACATTCTCATAAATCCAAGAAACTGTTGTTCATACATTCAGTATTAACTCTACAATTGTTTCAAATACCTTAAAACAATGACATTTTCAATTATTTGCCGTTACCGTTAGACAATTAACGAGCGTTTCCATTACACAAGTACTTAGCTAGGCATAAATAAATAATGTCGGCCCATTATAAAAGCAATTTGAAACTTACAATTTCTCAGTTCGTACCACGAGATCGCTATTAATTTCCAAAGATAGTAATTACCCGATTAACCTAACTTCATTATCTGATAATACGATAGAATGGGGTAGTTGCTAATCGAAGCGATCTTATTAAGGTTTATTAACATGGTATATTTGACCTCTATATGGTAGTATCGTGGCTCTGTAAATCTTAACAAAAAGTTAACTTTATGGCTAAGATCACGCGAACTAACCTTACTTGACCCTAATACCTATTTGGTATTCTCTATTTATTTTTAGAGTTTAGATAAAATGATAATTAGATAACCTTTGCGGTCAAGCGCATCTTACTCAGTAAGTATTTAAAACATAAAAGGGTTGATATTGTTGAAATTCGAATTTAACGAGTACTACGCAAAGTTCGTAACGCATAATTCGTAAATAACAAATATTATGTTAAACTAGCTGTGCCTGCGACGTCCACGAGGAATAGTAATTTTGGGCATCAACTATTTTACCAAAACCTCTTCAGCTTTATAAATTAGTAGCTTTTATCCACGACACATAATATAAAGTTATTTACTATAATACATAACTTGTCTATATATAAATAAACATGAATCCTCTAGTTGTTACAGTGGTTTTTTAATTACTAAAGTGAAATCATGTTGGCTCTTACAGAAATTAACTTAAACCAAATAATACCTTCATAATATAACAATTTGTTAAACACAAACAAGATAATTATTGCATAAATCGCTAACGAATTTCATTGTAACTAATATCAATACACTTATTTGCAATTCATAAACTAAATTATGTAAATATAAGTAACATAATACGATGTAGAACAAAGTAAGTATTGTATCTTGAATTAAAAGGTCGATCAAGATTTGAAACAAGTAGTTACTTAGTATTACTCAACGACGTAATGTTTAAAAGGCGCTAACTTTTATGTAAAAGTATATACTTTTAGGAATCATAAGCGGATTTACTAAAATAAAAACAAAATAACACAACAACTGAATAAATTAAAATTCAACAAAATCCTATCGACCGGCAGCACGTCCGTTCCGTACAACGAGCGGCGACAAAAGTGTACGAGCTGTTGCTTGAGGCTTGTTTATATAGCCTTCAGTGTGGCGGGTAGTTGAGCTTTTCTGATTTCCAACACGGCCTCTCCTGACCGTGTCCGTCCTCGGGCACCTCCTCTGTCGCGACCCCCTCGCGTGAGTCTGTGCGCGGCTGGAGACGGCTACCTGCAGCCGCGTGCACACGTGACCACGCGTTGTGCTAAGCTGTCTTTTTATGGAAAAAATACGGTTAGCCGAAGTATGGAGAGCTACATCCCGTAGCTACCGCAGTCGTCCTCGAACCGATTGCCTCGAGCCGGGTCGCCTGCGGGCCCCCCGTACTTCAGCTGAGCGCGTGACCGCGCAACCCGAAGCACCGTTTCTTCGCACCACAACATTGACGAGAGGACGCACGAGCGCACATCCACGATGCGCGGGTATGTCGGCGGACCTCGCCGCTCGCGCCCTGCTGCTACTCTGCCATGTGACTCCAACGCCCAGAGAAGACACCCAGGCGGCGGCCACCGCTTCCGCGCTCTAAATGCCGGAAGTTGCGATTTCGGCCGTCACCCTCCCCGACCGCCGAAGGAAGCCGCATGCGCGCCGTGTAGTCCGCGCGTGGGCTGCGCGCTGCTACTGGTGGCGTGGCGCCGGTTGACTCCCCCCTCGTTCCAGGGTCGTCCCGGCTGCCTGCTGCCGCCGTGCCGCTCTCCCGACGCAGCCATTGAACACGAACAAGAAGCACAGGACACGGTGTGCGCGAGACGAAGCCGCCCGTGTCCCCGAGCGCCTGCTGCCGCTCTCCTGACGCATCCATTGAACACGAACAAGAAGCACAGGACACGGTGTGCGCGAGACGAAGCCGCCCGTGTCCCCGAGCGCCTGCTGCCGCTCTCCTGACGCAGCCATTGAACACGAACAAGAAGCGCAGGACACGGTGTACGCGAGACGAAGCCGCCCGTGTCTCCGAGCGCCTGCTGCCGCTCTCCTGACGCAGCCATTGAACACGAACAAGAAGCACAGGACACGGTGTACGCGAGACGAAGCCGCCCGCGTCTCCGAGCGCCTGCTGCCGCTACCAGGATCGCCGGGTGTTGAAGAGTAGCCATTCAGCATCCTCCTCACACGAAGCGTGCAGCACCCAGTACGTCGGTGCGCGAGACGAAGCCACCGACGTCACCACCGGCCTGACGCTGCTCAGCAGCACATCTACTGACAGGCTCGTAGAGACGAGTCGCGTAACCCGCAACCTGCCGCAGGCTCATCAGCGCAAAGGAGAATACCTAAACATCCATAAAAACTCCAGGATGTGCACACAGCTAAACATCCATAAAAAACTCCAGGATGTGCACACAGCTAAACATCCATAAAAAAACTCCAGGATGTGCACACAGCTAAACATCCATAGAAAACTCCAGGATGTGCACACAGCTAAACATCCATAGAAAACTCCAGGATGTGCACACAGCTAAACATCCATAGAAAACTCCAGGATGTGCACACAGCTGAACATCCATGGGAACAGGTCGCATCTCCAGGGTTCCCCCAGAACTTCCCATACAGCCACGCTGCACGACCACCACACCAGCGAAGTCAATCGCCGATGCTCACATTCACAACTGCAACATTAAGTAAAAACATTACAGACATTTAAATAAAGACGTGTGCAGTATCTAGGCACCATATATTGGGCAGCAGCCTGTGTTGTTCAACTTCATTTTGCATCAACCGTTCGGCCGTCCTTTGTCTTCCTTGTCCTTTCCTTCTCGAAAGGCTTCACGGTTTTTACCTGACTCGATGGCGACATCACGTACCAAAGCTCGTATTACAGGTACAACAACTTTTCAGAACCGACCTGAGTTGATAAAATCTCAACGACCTACCCTCCAAGGTAGCTAAACGCGCAATTATAGCCTCTAAAGACTAAGGACACGCACGTTGTAACGATATACTCCTAGACCTAGAACGATCACGTGATCGGTCAACGTTTCGACGGCGATAGTCTCTCCTACGATAATTACGGGACGTGCTGCGTGATCGCCTACTTCGCGAATGTCTACTTCGTGAGCGTTCTACGCGTATACGTTTCCCTTTAGAACGGGACCGACTTGATCTACCCATAACGGTCAAAACTATCTCGATATAAAAAGCTGAAATTGTAATTATCCGAGGGCGTGAAAATATTTATCCCACTTCTGATTTTAGGAATCATAAGCGGATTTACTAAAATAAAAACAAAATAACACAACAACTGAATAAATTAAAATTCAACAAAATCCTATCGACCGGCAGCACGTCCGTTCCGTACAACGAGCGGCGACAAAAGTGTACGAGCTGTTGCTTGAGGCTTGTTTATATAGCCTTCAGTGTGGCGGGTAGTTGAGCTTTTCTGATTTCCAACAATACATATTTGAAAAGTTATATTTTAAGAGGGGTACATGTATCGAAATGTAAAAAAAATCGACGTTGTCGTGTAAGACACGGTAGCTCATTTGGTTAGACAATAGCACAGGTAAATTAACATACATTTTCAATTTATTTTAATATTTAACATATACAGACTGAGAACAATTGTCCTTGCCTTTCACTTCGTTATCGGATGAAACCTTTTAGGCATTTTGTAACGTGGCTAATGAAAATAAATCCGAATCGCCTGCGTGTTACATTGCTTCATTTTAAGGCTTATGAATTCCGTACTTCAATTCACAGCAAGCAATAAACGCGTCCTTTTCGGAACCGTATCGTTTCATATTAGATTTGGTCTTTACCTGGAATTAGGGACGGTGGTCTGAACAAAACTAAATGGAAATTATGTAAATCAGGGCTGGGCAGCAATCAACTGTGATGGATCTAAAAGTGGTCGCCTTTTTAAATTAGGTTTCGTGCTTTGTTAGTCCAAAAATAATTTTGTAAGAAATAAAGAATCAATTTCGTTGTTTTACAAAATGACGCTTGAGTGAAAAGGAACTACAAAAGTGTTGGCTCTAGTTTTCTCTAGTAGTACTCATTTAAATAAAAATATTTTAATGGGCTAAACGCATAAGATATATAAGTTAACTTTGCACGGGGACTGGGGCCTAAACGTGCCCCGTACCTATAATAAAATATAAATAACTTACCTATTATATTTCGTAATTTCATCCGCAAAGAATGTTTTATTTAAACAACCAAATTATGGAAATTATTTTGTAAACTTCACTACGAGTAGGTATTAACCATAAACAAGAACTACATTAGTCGAAAAGTGCTTATACTACAGGTATTTGTTATTACTTACAATAATTTAAATAATTATTTTTATGCATATTGCTTCGATTAATCATAACATATTTGATTATGAAATAGCTAACGAACTATTCGATACCGCTCCAAATAAATCAGATTTGATTTAAATCGTTTTGTAATCGATTCAGTATTTACGTTGCGTTGAGAGCTTTGACACCGAGAATCGAGACGTTGATTGGAACATTATAATTATCGTGACTTGTTCTTTAGTTCGATACTTTAGACAATCTATACGAATTAAATGTGCCTCGAAGCTATGGAATTTACAAAGGAAATAGCTTAAAACGATTATAACACTACATTAAAACTGGTAAAGCGCGTTTCTATATCAGGATTATACAGTGATACTCGTATTATTCCGACTTTACATATATATTATTATATGATAAAAAGCTAAAGCAGTCTTCACAAAGGATGTAGTCAGAAATGGTGCCAATTGAACCGTCAAATAGTAACAGATAAAAAATATCTGAGGTCTTTATTAATCTGTGGAATGTATAATAAATTGATCTGTGCTAATACAATATGATAATTTTATTCCAATTTTGAAAATGAATAGAATTTCGTGAGTCAATGGTTCTATTTTTAAAATCTCTAAGTTCACTTTGTGTATTACTCGAAATCGAAAAAGGTGGATTCAAAGTTGGTGAAACACTTTGCCCTCGCGTTCTAATTTTTATTTGCGATCGCTGTTACGTTATTGTTAAAGCGGACAGGCGATCATTTATATACTCATATGAACCACTTTCTCTAGTCACGTCTTAGACTACGTAACATGAGGTATGTTTCCCCTTGATTAGCTCAATTTATCGTACACGAACGAATCGACCTAGTTCACTAAATAGGCTTTAATATTTTGTAACTCATTAAAAGTTGGAATGAGACCTATATAAGGCTTCCCATAGACAACTAGCTAACTTCTACACTTATCCATTTAATAATAATTTGTTCTATGTCTGTCCATTTAATATGTAAAAAAAATGGTTTGTTAGATTACAACTATACAAGAAGTTTTTTTTTATTTACTCTAATCTTTTAATCACATGGATAGTTTATGCCTTGCGATATTTTTTTTATTGTTGCGATACTAATTGTATTCCTAAAACATATAACTGTTTTCGTACTTTTCGGCTCATAATTAAACATACTCGTTTTTCGTTCAAATTATTTGTCACGCATTGTTTTTCTGTAAAACAAACTGAACTTCTGAAGAATCTGAAGAAGGGCGCTGCGTCATTAAAACTTGTTGTTAAAGTTTCAAAAGGCAAAAAGGCGCAGAAATTCTTCATTTCGCCCGAAAGGCTTTTCCGTTAATGAGACGGTATGCGACCTGTCACGAGGTTTTCCGCCGATTACAAGGAAATGTGACACAGATATGTGCGTCTATTTTTTGCAGAATGTGCAGATTATTTTTTTAATTTTCAAAGATTCTTTACGACAGAGGAGAACGGATAACGATATCTTCGCTTGAGCGAAGGTCATCATTGTCTTTGGGAATTTTAGAACTGCTTTTCAATAATGAAAGACGAATTTGTTAACCATTGATACATTAATTTTATTGTAAGCTATAAAATGTTAAGTTATCAGAACTGATAGAGTAGTCTCTATGTAGGCGTATATGGAGAAAAATTTTAGAAAATTATTTAAAATAGACTTTAAAACGCTAAGCAATGTAATGAAGTAGGTAGTAACTAGTGGTAGTGTTAAATAAAATATATACTATTTTATCATGTACACATTTTCTACCAGAAGGCGAAGAGGCACAATACATTTATATGTTAAGGTTAAAAGCTTTCTAACAATGTTATAAGGAATTCTGTCATGTTCCAAGTTAAACGGTTTGGAATCGGGAAAAAACGTCAATCGCATTCCAATTTTTTACGCTGACTACGTGATCCAATGTCAATCATAAAAGCATCGCCCTCGGCGTTACAAACTCTGATAAAAAATACCTCGTTACTCATTCGGAGACAGCATATTACCTATAAGTATACTGATATGCATTGACATATAAGAGTTAATACAAAGTACAAATTATTACAACGGTTTACATCGCGAAACAAATAAACTATTTACAATGTATTTTAACTACGGCCCGACGTTTCGGATGATTTGCAGCAGTCTTGGTTACGGGAGGATCGAATAATTAATTTAGATAGAAATAGATTGTAAATAGGTTCGTTAATATATTTCACGTTTAAACCCGTTAAAAGGGGTTTATTTGAATGTGAACTAATTGCGTAAACTACAGACAATATTTACTAGGTCCATAAATTCGCTGTATACAATTAACGCAATTATTAATTAATTAATATTTACACTTAGCTAGGAAGCTATAGCTAGATAGCTTCCTATCAAGATCTATAGTAAGTACCTTTTGTACTGGCTTTAAATGTTGAAAAAGCACGTCTTTAATGTATATTCTTAAAGGTACAATCAAGATAAGGCTGATCGAAAATTTTATCGACAAAATGTGTTACCTACGTGGTCGTAAATTTTTATAGACTGACCTTTATGCCCTGCGTGCCTTTACATACTTAGTCAACGGCCATACGATTATAGGAACGCATTTTAAGCTCACATAATTAACTTTTATTTAAATTAAGCCAAGTTTTGTAATAGAAATTAAGGTAAGCCATTGTAGATTATGTCGGCTGTTTTAAATGTGAGTTCTATATTGGTATTAATTAAAATTTATGTTGGTTAGTACCTAATATGTATTTATGAGCTGTGGGAAAGGATATCTGAAATTATTAATTTTGGAAATAATATGATTACAATAGCAATATTTTTACTGAATTTTTTACTATATTTTTGAATCTATTTATTTATGAATTTTAGATTTTCAGTAACAAGTACAAGATTAATATAACGAGTCAAAATTGAATGATTCGTTTTTATAATGGAAGGAGTTAAAGAACAATAATAGTCATGAGAGGATAATTTATGAACAGAAGTGGGCCCAGATTGATTAGAAATGTGAAACTGAAAAAGACTTGAGAGACCAAAAAGGCAAAGGCCAAAAAAAAAGTAAAAACGATTACGAAGTATTGGATATTTATAGTAATAAATGTATTAGCGTCATAGTCAATAAAGTCATATTTTATTTTATTATTCTGATGGCTTACAATGAAGTACCACTTTATGGTTATAGATAGAAACCATAGATTGTTCTATAGTTCGTTTATGGATATCTGAAACGGGTTTATGTTGTGGTCGACCCACGCTATTCCGTATTGTCTAGATATCCGGTGAGCTTTAACAAATATAAATATTTAATAATAATCATAATGCCACAGGATATAGTAATGTATCATGTTTACATACGTCGTGTATCGGTTTTAATATAAACTTTGCTTTGTGTTTAGCACAAACTCCTGCTACAGTAGATTGCAAAGATCTAAACGATCTCTGATGTAAAACTTTGTTATTATCGTACGATGGATGGAATTTTGTCAATCTAAACAGCTTTTAGACTTTTTTGTTTAATATCTATAGGTAGAAAATTTGTCTGTTGTTATATCTATGTATATAGTTATACCAAAAGTATATTTATTTTATTTTAATTTTTTAGTATACACAATTAAAAAATATGAATTTAAGTAAGTGCTGTCTGTAGTTTACGCGAGTAGTACACATTAAATTTAAAACATTAAATGTATTAGTAAAAAAAAAATATACATAACGGACGGAAAACAACGTAAAGTGTAATATTAAAGTTAATTTAAGTTCTTATAAAAGATTATCACACTTTCATCTCCTTCACTTTTAAGTTATACTTCTCACACTCAACTCCAATCAATAGCAACCACGTTTCGTTAAAAATAATTTGAGTAACTTTAAAATTATAATATATTTCATATTTGTAATTATATGTATAATTAATATGTCAAGCTAATAGTGTGACGTTCTATAACCAATAAATTGCATTCAGTCATGCATTGTATTAAACTATTAATTAAATTGAATTATTGTGTGAACCAATCAAATCACTTGAAATATCGTTTAAATCAAAATCATAAACAGTTCATAACAAATAATCCTTCTATTGAAAATAGATAAATTATGTGGGATCTTCGAAGGCGCTATAAGTAGCTTAGCACGAGTTGTGTCCTTTATACTTTTAAATACTGTCTGTAGTTTACTCGAATATACATTTAAATAAAACACTTTAACGGTTTAAAATGCGAAATATGTTAGTAAAAATTGTTTATAAATTATTTTTATTTGGATACTTTGTAGCAGCCCGTGACCACAGCTTTTCCAATTTGTACTTTTCTCAAATAACTATTAAGATTGGCCCATTTTTAGCGAAGTAGACTAATTTGTTCAAGTCTGTATAGGGCAACTAATCATCTTAAAGAATTTGATTTGTTTTTTCATGAAGGTAGTCTCTTTTTAGTTATAGAGTACTTAAATAATTCCATTCCTTTTTAAAACCTTAAATTCCAATTACAAATAAAAT